AAGTCCAGAACCAATGCCACTAGAACTTGAATGCGGTGCGGAGGGTGTAATTATTCTTATCCAATATAGTCCCGTCGCGTTTTGTAATGGATGTACAAATATGTACACAAGTGCAGATTGGCCAATTTTTGATGGTGCATTATGCATTGATAAAACGTCATCAACCCATACTATACAAACTAAGTCATCAGAAAAAATGTTTTTAAGAAGATTTGATAATGAATCCGATGATAAATCATTGTTTTGTGTTTGAATAAGATATGGAACATTGAATATAACTTCAACTGATCTATCTGCAAAATATGGTGTAGTTTTACAGATTGATGAGTCTAGTTTGGCTTTGTAGCCTGAATGCGTTTCTAATGAAACCTAATGATCATATGAAAATGTCAATACTATGGTTAACTATCTGAAAATTTATAATTTTTAAAGATAAGTTTACCGGCCATCCTAAACTGTTTAAAAATCTTTCAAAATCTTCACTTATGGAAGGTGGATTTATTATATGGTCAAAATCGTCGGAACAAGATTGGATATAGTAAACTGATACACTAAGACAATTACGCCTATTATGAAAAAAATTATTTATAGATTTAATGATCATATATATATATATTAAATATTGTTTTTACGTATTTTTTTTTTTTTTTTTTAAATGCATTGTGAATAATTAATTATACATTACTCATTTAACAAATCCAATTTTTCAAGATCACAGATAAGCTTCTCTGATATTTTTAATGGTGTTATACGATGTCGATTCTCTAAAGATATCAGGCCCATATGAGACATAAATAACCGAAACATTTGCGGGCTAAATGTATCAATAATAAAAGATGATTAATAAATTATAGTATGAATTTTATATTCATGAAACTTGCCTTTCGAGATTAGAGTTCGGGGCTGCAGGAGTAGCTTTGTAACTGTATAGATATAGGTATACAAGTCAATTTCAATTAATAAAAAAAATATAGATTAGCAAAGGTTATTCACTAATAATGTAATTTACTTTTGGTGGTCAAACTTGGCGTTTCTTTTTTTCTTCAAAAGATTGCTTCTCTATTTCCTTTTGTCTCTGTGTTAATTTTTTAACTTCACGATAAGCTCTCCAG